AAAATATTTTGGAAGACAATCCTGCAGCATCCAGAATGTCAGAGTCAAAAACTTACTAATAAAGTTTCCTTTATATCATAGTTTCCCTTTTTTTTTCTCCGTATTCTTATTTACATATAGACGTTTATTCAACTAAACAATAATGATTGCAATTGAACCATAGCTCAATACCCAAGATTTAATGAGTATGCAATAGAGATCTGAAAAACATATATAATATTCACGTTTTAATAAAATGCTGTGCTCATCTTTCTGGTCATACTGTTTTAAATGTTTTATAATGCTGTATGTTTTTCATTGCATTAGAACACCTTATGATTATATATGACGTTTAATACATAACATCAATCTGTTAATAAATAAGTGAAAATCACCTTTATAACACATTTTATTCATACTTAGCCTTTATTTGTATATTAATATGCATGCTTACCCTTTAAAAAAATCTATAATATACTTAAGTTTTGAACTTGAATATGATTTGACTTAATTGGAATTAATTATAAGGGCAAAAAAATATCAAAAACTTTTCATGATGTATCCCTATCAACAAACAGAAAAACAAAAAAATTGCTTTCATTAAATACCATTGAAGTTCCCAGCTTATATTTTAGACCCCTGGCCAAAGCTATTCTTTTTATTTAAGCCATTAACAAGATTAAGATTACATAGATGTTAACTCAGTTGATTTACATTGGCTCTTTTGGTTTGCATCTCTTCTCTCTCTGTTCCAAACTCCTGCACAGCTTGAAGACGTTCCCTCTGTGTGAAGGCACTGATGCAAGAAGCAGCGCTTCCTGCATATCAAGGTGCTGACTAGCTCGGCTGTTTCCCCCAGAAGCAGGTAGCTGTTTCATTCAGGAACAACATCTTTGAACTACTTCAAGAAAACCAAAGAAAAGGATGCTACTGGTTCTTCACAGGGCTGCAAATGGGCTAGTGATATGTGCATGGAATTACAACCACTTTTCACCAAGGAAGGTTTCTCACACAACTGAGAGGAAAGCGGAACAGGCCCCAAGCCAACAGAGTGTCCAATGGTTTTCCCAACAGGCAGTCATTGTCCACTGCTCCATTTGCCTGTTATGTCTGCACCTCTAAGCCAATCTGGCTTACATGACAGTTGGACATGTTACATTCTCAAGAAAGGAGGGAAAAAAAAAATCAAATGATAGATTCATGAGTCAGAGCGAACACATGTCACATGCTAGTCTTTGTGTTTACAAGTATGCCAGTTTTTTTTTTTTTTTTTTGCTGAAATGCCCATATGCTCATGAATGTGAGCTGAGAAGAAAGAAGCTGAAAAAGTAGAGAAAAAATAGACAAAATGGAATGACAATGGAAAAAGCAGCGAAAGAAAATAAAAGGATGAGCTACAATACATCCCTCAACCTGAATGAAAAAAGATCGTCTTTAAGAATACCAAGACTAATTTAGGTTTAAACCAGAAACCAGGAGCAATCCTAAAAATATATCCTTTTACCACCACCTAATGGATTTAAAGTGTAGACTGCCTGAAACACTTTTCCTCACTGCATGTATATACAGAAAAAAAAAGAAAAGAAAAATGCTATACATTTGTTGAGGGTAAAAGTATGTGTTATAAAAAATTTCTTCATCAAGCAAGGCATTTTACATATCATTTTATATTTGCTAAACTGATTCTTGATGTTGACTAGCTTATTTCTAAGGATCCAAACTCATTTTAGTAAACATTTCAGTAAAATAATTTATTGGTTTAGTAGCACAGCGACTCCTCAGTTTTTCAAGAATATTTTAAGTATCCACATAGAAGCTTTTTTCCGTAAAAAATGTTTTTTAATTTTTTTTTAGCAGGTTTATCTTATTATTTACATATCAAACTAATATTGTGTGGTTTTAAATTATCAACGTCAGTCCATATAGAATATAAAGACCAAGATATCTCTTTGCTATAAAATGACTTGAATTAGGAAATGGGAAATTATGAGAGGAAAGTACTTTTGGAACATCTTAAACTATTTGAATTGTGTAAGTAAATATTCCACAGCTACTTGTGAGCCCTTGAGATTTGAAAATAAAACTGAAATATAAAAAAAGAGAACATACAAGGATCAAATCTTTTAAATCTAGTTATTTATGCAGGTCTTCTTCACCATTTGAATCATCGTTTGTGTCTTTGCTGAAAATTTGAAATATTTGCTAACATAAAATGGGGTAAAGAGAGTAGAGACTAATTTCACTTTTAAAATTGACATGTACTGAATGGTGTATACCCTTAAAGGGATAGTAGTCTGAAATTTGTACAGTGCTTTTTTAATCACAAATTTGTAAGCAATTAATGTCACACTAAGATACAGCAGAGAAACCTTGTCATCCTTATTTAGTAGAAATCAAATTAGTTGGACCTGGAGGCTAAAGCGAATAGCTAGTCAGAAAGGGACCAAGGGGTAATGCAAAGCACTACTTAATGAACCTTTGCAATATTTTGCATTAGTTTGCAGCTGGAACCTGGCTTTATAGTGGAAATTCTATTTGGGAGGCAGTTTGAATGATATTCCTGAAAACAGAAAATGAAAAAAATAAATGAAATGATATAACCTTTGATTTATAGACCACAAAATTTAGTATCTGTCATCTCAAGGTTGATGCTCCATCGGATGAGACGTTAAAGAGGGTGGTTCAGTTTTCTCTGGTTACATTGGGCAAAAAGTGCCTTCCACCTTCACAATCTGTTCCCTCTTTGCCATCAGCTCCTGCACTTTTTCCTCACTTTCACTAAGACAAAAATAAGCTCTTTGCAAATATCTAGTGGCCAACTGTGAGCTTGTAATTTATATATGAAGGGTAAAGATAAAACAAGGGGTAATCCTGAGCATAACTGATACATTTGATTTTGTTTTTTGTTTTTTCAGGCTGATAACCAATTGTTTTGACATTAAACCTCTCCTTGATATGCTCTGCCAATTTTTGGGGGGTGGTTGTTGAAGCTGATATTGTGTTTTGTTTTTCCCTTCATTAACATCATAGAAATGTGTTCACTCCCAAACTAATATCCAGATAGGCATTGTAAATGAGGATATATTAAATGCCTATATTTTTTTCTTCTCAAAAATGCTCACTTTATACATTCTGAATTCCTCATTTAGTTTATGTTAAAACTTGAATTAAAAAATAAACAAACCAATAAATACTAATTAGAATTCTAACAAAGAATATGACTTCTATTGAATCCATTTGGTGACTTTTGTTTTAGTATATTTGAAGTGCTGCCTTCCGGCTGGCTAATGTAGACAAAGTGTATAGAAAAAACAAGACTCAAAATAAATTCAATTCTTTCTCGAAAAACCAAAAAAAAATCTTTTAATGTTCTAAATTCCTGAGGTACAAAAATTTGATTTACTAAAAATATGATACCATGTGAGGTCCTCAGCCTTTTATAGTATACAGCACAAACAGATGCTTCCTGATGTTCACCCGAGGGAACTGCTCGCCTTGGCAGCTTTCAGCTGTTTGGCAGCTATTTGGCAAGTGATGTAATTGACTCTAGAGCAGCGGATAATTTTGCAGGAGGAGTCTGAGGATTGTCTATGGCTATAGAGAGTCAGCTAGACTGAAAATATTTTGCACAAGGATGAAAAAGTGTCACTTGATCACTTTTGCTGCTGCAATCAATACCAGTGATACATCCACCTGATAAATGAGACGGTAGCATGTAGTGAATGCGGCCATTTAATCTGTACCAGGAATGTGGAGGAATGAGGGTTTCATTTTTCATCTCAACACATTTTTGTTGTTAAATGAAAAACCATTTCATATTCCATCCCTTTGGCAACTCCTCTTACAGGAAGCAGAGGTGAAATTGTAACTTAGTAGTCAAAGCATATGAAAAAATATGTTTCTACCAGTCATATTCACAACTCATCACCCCATTCACATCCTGCCCCACCCACATCTCAAAGAAATTTTGCAGGATGTTGAAAACGTGTTCCTTGTGGAATTAACAATCATGGATCCTTCTTACTTTAGCACAATACAAAATATGCAAAACTCTCATCTCCCCTGCTTTGTACCCTCTATCTCCCTCAAGCTTTTCCCTTACTTAGCCCCCTCCATCTGTTTTTTCCTCTCATCTCGCAGCCCCCTCTCTTCCTTCTACTGCTTTGTTATGCTTCCCGCATTCGAGTCCTTCATTCGCCACCCTCTTTAACTTTGCTGTTTTTCAAAGGGTTTCTCTTCCTTCTTTCCCTTGTCTATTCCCTTTCCACTTGTCCTCTGATACCCCATTCTCTTCCCCATATCCATTTTACTTCCCCCCAGCACCTAACCCCCCCAGCCTCACACTCTATATCTCCCTGCAGTGTAAAGCTGCACCTGCAACATTCTGCTAAATAGGATATGTGGCCTTGATTTATCCGATTCCTCAAGACAAGAGGGTGAAAGCTAACTTCACTCATGCATTGACACCTTACAAGCAAAGTTTTTTTTTCTCATAAAAATACCATCTTTGGTCAGAGTACATAGTGCAGGACTTAAATTTCCACTCTAGCAGAACCAAAGCCAAGTCTAATCTGTCAGATAAAGCCCTGTACTCAAAGGTACTTTTAAAATTGTAGAAATAAGGAAGAAAACTCCTCTGGAGGTAAGATTCATATCACATTCATGCATAAGGTAAAGATAAAGATGAAAGGGGTGAAATCACAGCATATCCCCTGATACCAGCCTGCTCTAATGCATATGATTAATATTAAGCCAGTGGAGTATCCACTATCTACGAGGATAAAGAATAAAATGTATATTATGTGATTAATCCCAGAGATTAAGCTGTAACTAGGCCTGCCAGATATGATAGGGTTCCTTTATACAGACGTGAGGGTATAAGAAGTGGCTACTACGTTGAAACACTCCATTTAGTGCCATACAGGCCCAAGAGCTCTTCTCAAACACTCATGAGTTCAACACATACCCTTTAAATACTGCACTCACTCGTACAGCACTAGTGGCCAAAATTCTGGACTTACGTGTTCTGAAGCGGTGGTGTGGGCGTGTGGCTGGACCCCTCCCTGGACGCCCCTGATTCCAGCGTGATGTGGGCTTCAGTGGGACTGCTGGCTGGGAGGTCGTTGTTGGGGGTACCTTGGCGGTGCCCTTAGAAATAGCTGTTGTGGTCGTGGATGTCGTGGTGGTGACGGTAGGAGAAGTCTGTCCAGGATTTGAATTGGCAGCTCCATTGCGTCCGTTGGATGTGCTGCTTCCTTTCCTTACATTACTGCGGGGCGTGACCTCCTTACCACTGGGTGCAGGGGTAAGACGGGTGGCACGGGTGGCGGAGGTGGTTACTGTAGTCCCACTTATACGGGTGCCAACTCGATTGTGCAGGTGAGGGGCTCTATTTCCATCCCCGTTGGGGTTGCTGCCATTTGCTGAGTGGTTTGCTGGTGGACCAGATCGAGTTCTTGGGGCTGGGGCAGTACCATCTCCTGCCAGAGGTGTGGTCATTGAAATCATTGCTGTAGTAGACGGAGCTAAAGAAGTCGTAGCCGTGGAAATGTCAGGCCCCTTGGGCATGGCGCTGGGCTTTGAGAGAAATATGGGGTCCTGGCCATTGATACTCTTTGGATCAACCAGATCCGTAGGGACATAATCTTGCACAGAGCCAACCACAATCCATTTGAGCAGCATGAGACTGAGTCCCAATCCTACAAATCCCATCACCAGGGGTACAGCACACAGCCAGGTCTGCTGGCGAGGCCACACAGCACACGGGCCACAGCGGAGAGGGCCCGGGGCTCGAGGGGACGCTGGTTCAGCCCCTGGCTCCTCCAGCGTCATGGCTACCAGAGTGCTTGTACCAGAGCGCTCACTCATCCTGCTGCAGCTTTTTTCCCCCCTTATTCTGTCTCAGACTATTTGGGAGGTCAAACAGGTGGCCTGATAATAAACAGGCATATGTAAAGATACGGTGCAGAAGGGATGCTGCACATTTTAAGTGAGTACAGCTAGAATGACTACATGCACAGATCTAAAACCAAGCAGACACAATCCACTCACAGTCACGTTTTAATTAAAAGCTGGCACTGCATTCAAATGCATTCAAAAAGCAGCATAACCTACACTCCCTCTGGCGGACAAAAAACAAACAAACACATTCACTCACACAGAGACGCTCACACACAAGAGCACGAATGCATGATATCCCAACTTCCCATGAGCATACAGGTTATGGACAGGTGAGTCAAGCAGGAGAAATAGGGCTGCAGGAGGGGAATAGGAGGGGAAACAGCGCTTCACTGGAGTTCTGCGTAAATTGAGCGATGAAAAATCCGAGGATGTTTCACTCCAGTGTTAAAAAGGTGCCCCAAGTATACACATATATTTATATCGATCCCACAGATTGGAGCCGTAAATCCACCAGGATGGGAGCGCACTAAATCCAGCAGCAAGCCAGGACTCCTATGCAGCCTTATAGTGGATGATTATCAGCCGCACGGGGAGGGGGGGTCCTTAAAAATGTAAACCACCGCTCCTGGATGTCACGTCAGTTCATTTCACTCGGAAATATTTAAATATATACAGAAGGAATTCGCTTGCAGTGTCTTTGCAGGGCTGCTCCAACTTTTCATCTAAATGCGCCCTCAGGGTTGGAGCGCTCGTTTCAGATGACGGTGTAACAATAATCCAAGAGCCACGACTGAAAGCAGGCAGCTGAGGGAAAAAAGGATCTGAAGCGATCTGCCAATAAGACTGAAGAAGGGGTGATGTTTGTTGATCCAGCTGATCCAGGTCCTGTTTCCAGGCGCTGGCCACCCCCCCCGGATCGGATTATTCCCTTTCCAGATTCAGGGAAGGGGGGGTGGGGGAGAAATAACATAAAAATTGTTCAAAAAGATGATTCTGCGAGTATCCTACCCTGTTCTGCATTCCCACGGAGGTGCGAACAGCAGAAGGGGTGACGGAGAGAAGAGGAGCAGGGTGGGTGAGAGAAAAAGAGAGGGAGGGAGGGGGCAGCTGCTCTGAAAAATGATGCGGCGGCTGCTGTCGGAGGCTGCAGACTGAAGAAGAGAGGAGGAGAGGATGGAGAGACAGGGGAGCAAGAAGGAGAGGGAGGGGAGGCTGCGGTGAGTGTTCAGGGCTCCTTTCTCATCCGGTCCCCTAAAGATACTCTAAAGTGACAAATAGTGACTGACCCCTCCTGAAACTCATCCACACCTCCTAAAAAAATGAGATTGAATTAGAAACATATTCTTCCTGATAGGATCAAGAAAGGTGGAGGGAAAAGAAACAAGATCAAGCTCTGCAGCTGATGCAGATATGGAGGCTGAGCAGAGTGGAGGGAGGAGGCGGCAGCATCAACAGCAGCAGAAACAGGAGAGGCGCTTCCATAGATGTGGACACACCCCAGGGAGAACTGAGATCCAGGGATGGGAAGAGAAAGAAGCAGGAAGAGAGGAAAAAACAAAACACCGCCTGGTGTCTCCTGTAGTCAGCACACACACTGGCAAACAAGCCAAACACCAGGGTTTTATAATTTACGGGCGAGCTTCAGCACCATACCTCAACTTGATACTTCCATGGGCAGCACTAGATAAATGCCTTATTTTACAGTTCAGAAGGGAGTAAGGCTTTAGGCTTAAAGCCTGGCAGGGTTTTTGTATTTATAGGACGTTCCTGGGCATAAGGTAAAAACAATGTTACTGGAAAAACAGCAGCCGGTAGCAAAAACAGTAATTCTTTATGAAAAAAGAAAAAAATTGTTTGATTTCTTTATGTCTCAGTTGCTTTGATGACATATGGCTGCATGCAGAACAAGAACTTATTCATTAACAAGTAAGCGCCAGCAGTGACGAAGCGTACTTAAATATAGCACATTTTTGGAGACAGAGATAAAAGTATGAATATTTTTTAATCTTGTATCAATACAGACATGAAATATAAAGGGATGTGCAGCTGGAACCAATTATTTACATGCACTGTAAACAACATTTAACATTCCGTTTTATTTTAAATCCGAACAAACTTTTTAAATGTCGTATTCTTCGTTTATTTCTATTCTGTCACGTAATGACCTCATGAAAAGCCAAAGTTTGTCCAGATTCACACTTCAAAAACAATCTAGAATTTAATAAAAACAAATTTCATCTTAATTTAAGGAGGTAAATAAGATGATTTGCCAATGGAATGAGTATTTTTACTCTTAAAATATGATAATTTGACAATATGCACTTGAAATGAGACAATGTTATTGTTTTTTTCTGATTGTAAAAGCAAATTGTCTTGTTCCATAGTCAAATTGTCTCATTTACCTCCTTAATTCCAGAAATAATGCTTTTGTTGTAAGAAAAAATGACTTAAGATTTAAATGTTTTGAAGTACAGAACAGCACTTCAAAGTTCCTTTCCTATCGACTATAGTCACTAGTGTTGACACCATGAGAAGTGAAGAGAGCGAGGAACAACAATTTGCACAATTTTCTGCAGGGACTGAAAACTCAAAAAATCCAACAGATACCCAACAGCAAATAACTCTAGATACAAAAAACACAAAAAATTAACTGATAAAGAAAAAAATAACAATAGTGAATGAAGAATAAAGAAATGATCAAACTGCAAAGTAAAGCAAAATCCATACAACTTAAGATCACAACACTAAGATGTTGCTGACGCACCAGAACCAGCCTCATCCCCTACTTGCTCTTCATATTTGGTCAGAGCTCAAAACAACCAGGTTCTAAGATTTATAAACCCAACAACAATTACAAGAAAGAATTACTCTTCTTAGAGATCCTATAAAATCTGTTTGGTTAGGGGGAAAATATCCAGCTGGTCCTTAACACCTACATCATGGCACCGCACCTTTTTTCAGTAGATATTTCAGACAATTAAGCAGCCTGTGACATTCTGACTTACAGTACAGCATCCAGTTTAGAGTGATTCTCATTCTCATAAATTTGCCCTTGTTATTAGGATTAGATAACTTTAGAAAGTTGGTAGAGGATAAAAGGATTTTATTTTAAAAAGTCTCCCCTAATGTAAACTCTAAAGACCTCCTAATATTTTAAGACTGTTTTACAACCATAAAAATATTTCATAGAATGATGACTCAAACCCAATGTCCACACATTTATCAATCTTATGTGCTTCTTGAATCAGTATGCCTTTACAGGGAATTAGTATCAGCAACAAAACTAAAATTAGTAAATCTACCACCTAGTACTGAGGAGTTCTAGGAGCAGCTTTTGGATATCAAGGAACAGACAGATGTTCATACTGCAGATGGAAAGATTTGTGGCAGATGACTGAGTTTTTGGGTGAAGGATTCGATCATCGATGGACTTTCCTCCTACGAATACTACAAAAACCATACATTTTGGAGACGTCATCCGCACTAAATTAAAATTAAGATTTTTTCCAAATAGACCATTGGCAAATCATCTTATTTACCTCCTTAAATTAAGATGAAATTTGTTTTATTAAATTCTAGATTTTTTCCAAATAGACCATTATAAATAAAAAGTCAGTAGTCGCCGAGAAGATTAATGGGCAGAGCTCAAAGATTTATGAAGGTTAGAAGTAAGTAGCAATAATGGATTGATTGACGTTATTGATCTCACAGTGGAGAAATGTATTCGTTACATCAGTTCAAAGCTCAAACAGATAAAGAACAGGAATGTGCCAATGTAAGAAAAAGGTGAATGGGATATATATATACAGTGCATCCACATATGACATTTTTTTAAATCTTTTTTTTTATAGTATGATCATTATACAGGGTTATTGCACAGGGTGTATATAGGTATTTATATAGATGATATCTATCTATATCTCTGTACATCTATATCTCTATATCTATATATAGTTATTGCACAGGGCATCAAAAAAAGTAATTTGCACATTATACATTGCACAAGTTACTGCCATTGTTGTGTCAGCCATGCATCACACATTAGTGGTAAGAAGCAATTGTGTATCACAACATTCTTGCTTTAAACCATTAAAATTATGTTTCAAAATAACCAATGACATTAGCTTACTATTCCCAATCCCTTCACTTTTACTGATAGGTAAAGTTTAGTATAAAAGTTTCGTAGTTTCAGTTGTAATAGCTGTTCAGTCTTATAACAGTCAATTTTTATCAAGGTGTGTCTGAAGAAGTACTTAGGAAACATCAAAATATCACTATATAAAAAAATTGTCCTGATTTCAACCCATTCATTAGCAGGGAAATCAGAAATAGGCAGAAGATTTTTTTGTGTGCATTTTTGCTTAAAGCTAGTCATATTATTAAAGCAGCTTTGTCTTCTCTCCTGCACATGAATATTCTGTATGTCAAAAAACACAGACCCTTTCTCAAATTCCCAACAACGTTATCCCTTACAAGAATGAAATGATTATGTTGCCTAAAGGAAAATAAAATAAAAAATGTAGATAAATTTAAACTCACATTCTCGAAATTACACCACAATTATGCCATCTTAAATGCATTTCTCTCAGAACAAGAATTTGCATATACCCTAAGGTCGGTTTCTCAATTGATTTATAAAAATAACAGGAAATGACTAACACTTTTGAATTTATTTGACATGTTCATGCTTATTCATGTTTTTACCCATACCACATTTTTCATTAGGGGTTTTGCTAATGTGCATAAAAAAAGTCTTGACTGCATTGTTTACTGCTTCAGGACTATAGAGGTAATGTCCCGGTCTGATGATTCCTTTGAACTTGGCAGGCTGTCGACAGACATTCCCTTCTAGGAATTTTCTTTACTGCGCGGTTTACCCTACCGAAGCATCTGAAGATTCTAAGGAAAGGAAAACAAGTTTTGAAATATTGGCTTTAGTTGTGTGGCACAATGTGTTCACTTTCCCGTTTTGAAGAGTGAATAAAATGTTTCCTTTAAGTTTCGATCTTTGAAATACAGTACAGTAAATACATTTAAGTTTCTTTGTTTTATCTTTAATTATTATTCATTTATTTTAATTACTTAACTAGATCAAAATATCTATTTTTAAGAGATCTTTGCAAGAGTGGAAGCATACATTAAAAATTAAAAACAAGAAAATTAGACAAGGAATTCAATACAAAAGCAGCTAAAATGTTTACCCTAAAATACAAACATTGCATTCAGGTAATTTAGATATGAGTGCATTTATCATGGCCCTGTTAAAATAAACAAAACCAGAGTCTGGAGTTGAAGCCCTACTGCAAATTTTGAATGTCAGCTGAAGCTGAAAAAACAAAAGCCGTCTTTCTCCTTTCTGTTCTGACATGAGGAACAATGAAACTTAAACATTTCAGACAGTGTAGGCAATGTTATTCAAAACAGGAAAAGATGATAAGAAAGGTGCTGTCACTTTAAGAATAGCCTTGTAAATCAACACATAGCAATGGCCGTGCTGGCACTCCAACATAAGACAGTCATAATCTTGTGCCCTACGGTTTGTGACATAACTCAAAGCACCATGATAAATACTATATAGCATGTAAAGGGTTGAGCAGAGGTAATGCTATGGTGGATAGTGTGAATCAGTCATGTGTGCAAAATAAAAGATGCCACTTTCATGCTTAAACCATGCACACTATTAAAAGGAAAAATCAATATCTTTACCTTTTAAATAAAAAGATGTGGAATTTGACCCTTAGATTATTAAAAAAATGTTTTGATTCCATAATCCTGATTTTTTTTAACTGAACTAAAAAATTTGTTGTTTTTTAAAAAATATATGAAAAGTATGGCGTGCTTTCATATTAAGCTATTTTCTGCCAGGATTTTAGCCTGAAGAACCCTTTCTTATTTTAGTTTCAGTTTAAATCCATTTAGTGCATGTCACAATTACCTTTAAACATTTTAAAGACTGGCATATGATTTTAAGGATTTGAAAGTGGATTTGGCTTTAGATTAATGCTTCTTTTATAATTTGTCAAAATGTCCCCTTAACCATAAAGCAATTTATATAAAGTTCATTAGTATTACTGTTGAGATCTGGCAGGTGTAGCTTAGGTTCTGGTTTTATCCAAGGTAATGTCATTGTGAAGGTGTTACACATCAAACAAAGAAACCTACCTGTGATTGGCTACTTTGCAGGAAATGCCACATCTTGATTTGTAACAAGCTGGCAAGGTAACAAGCAAAACCTCTCTTGTTAAGCTTGAGCCAGCAGAAACAATCAGGCTACTTGAATAGAACTTTTTTTTATAGGTGTCATATAACCCCTTTTAACAGGCAATTACAGCCAATAAGAATCAAGTATTAGAAAAGAAATAGAATAGAAAAAAATCCCACAATGGAGAAATTCTGG